GCCAATAAAAAGGAGAAAGGATGTTTAAATGTATCACAAGGAAATCTACTGAGATGGTATCAAAAGAATATAGAGTCTCCCGGTGTATTTTATGTGTCTAAGTAACCACCAAGGGAGTTCCTAATTTTCTCAGCTGTTTTATTCAATCCAAACTATTGATTGAAAGCTATTCTACTATTTGGACTAACCATGAAATAATAGATTGTGAAAGCTCAAAGTTCAAATGAGCATTATCAGAGTGCTGCAAATTCCCCTCACTTGTGATACCTCCACTGTGCATCAGAATTTATCAAGTCTTGGGCTAGAAGGAAGTGGGTCAAAGGAAAATGGGAGACACTGCTGGACCATGCCAAAGGAGATGGACTGATGATGATCTAATGAAGAGGGAATTGAGTGTGGAATAAGGTCATCCTATTATTTGCAGAAGAAAGCCAAGTGTCTCTGTAAGGAGGACTTGTTAATAGTTTTGTGTGAACATTTTCTTTTTAGTATGAAAAATACCCTAGGAGTTCAAATGCCAACAGTCAAACTTGAGAGCTATATGGCTTTCACAAACATAAGCTCCTGTTTGTCATACCAGTGCCATACTCAACACCTCTCTTCATGTTTTTATTTTAACTCCTGGAGCTGTAAAGTTCAGAAGTTTTATTCTCCACTTAAAAACTTGAATAAAGATCTGATCTCTTTGGAGGCACAAGAGTGAGTTCATACAACAGGAGTTTGTTTTTCTCATAAATCTCTTGTTTGATAATGGATGTCCCTATTGATGGAGGCAATGGATGAAGAAACCCTTTGCTATTTTAATCTTGATAGCTAAGGCTACAGCAAAAACAAGGGGTAAGGATGGAAGAGTGCTCTGTGGACATCTGGTGAAGCAAAAAGGAGGTAGATTAAAAGAACCAGTAGACAGGCCTAAGACAAGTTTGCTTTGGCTGTCTTGTTTTATTGTTCAATAAATGTTTATCTTAATGGAGGGAGTCCAGCCAAGCAGTGGAAGAATTCGCACTTCAACAGCATGCAGAAGTTTCAGCCAGCATGTTCAAATGTGCCTTGGTTAAGCAGTCACTCTGTCTTAGGCCAATTGCACCTAGCACAGTCATGGAAAGGTTAGATCTTGGACAGGAGGACAGAAGGCTTTGTGCAAGAGCCTCCTACAAGATATGCGAGAGAGAAGAGGTTGCTTAAGAGTGTCCTGGGAGCTAGGAAACACAAAAACCAGAAAGGAGTTAAATGCTCCTCTACGAGTTAGATGCCTGTATGAGCCCTTCATGCTACAAGGGCAATTACTGGAGCTGAAATAATACAAATTATTTGAAGCTCTTGGGCTTTGCCAAAATTACCTGCAGTGAGGAGTGAAGCACAGCTGCTGGTGCGGCTATGGCAGAAGGTGTGGGGAGCACAACGGAGGGGGTGGCAGCAGTCAGAAGTGGCTGATGGCGGCCATGGGAGGAATGGGGGCAGCCAGCAGATGCAAATCCCACCGCAGCTCAGTCTGGGGCTCATCACCCAGCAAAACTAACTGACCTGAGCTGTGGGCTAGGTGCTCTTGCAGGGGTGGGAGGAAGAACAGCCAGATCCCCAGCAAGTATATGGAGGGAGGGAAGAGGGCTGTAAATTCCTATAATTATAGGTTTACATTCAAAATTAAATCCTGCGCTACCTTATTTATTCACCTTGTTCAAGATTTTTTCTTCTCTAAAATTTGTTAAGTAAATGTTACTGTAAGTAGAAAAAATTAGCTCTTGGTGCTAAACCTACCCCAGCTTTGTAGGGAAGCTTGTAGGTGCATTAGTAGTGACTCCTTCAAACCAAAAGCCAACTTCTGTTGTCGCCAGTCACATCCTAACAGAAGGGTTGTGCACTGTTGTTTAGGGATATGCACTACTAGTTGTTCCTGCTTAAGGAAGACATCCCAGCAACATTTCTTTTAAGAAAGATGCAGAAAAGGAACGGAAATGAGAGATTTCCACTGTACTTCATTAACAGCAAGTCTCCTCCTCTTTGAGTTAATTACTTCTAGCAAGCGTTCAAAATAAAAAGACATTGCTGTCAGTTCATGAATAGTTTAACTAGAACTGTGATGAGAGGGTAGCAGCTTGTGTGCAGCATATAGCATTCAAAGGTTATCAATGCCTTCTGAGACATCATTAAAAAGTTAGTGCTGAGATTCATTTCCCCTTATGCAGGCTCTGAGCCTTCAGAATCTGAAATCTCTGTTACCACAGGGTAGAAATGGCAGTTGAAGCAGTAAGTTGTGTAACTTGCATCTACATTTTCAATGCCTAGTGAAGTAATTTTTCTAATTGAAGCACCCTGTTTCCTTACCCAGCCAAGGGAGAAGAGAGAGATGTCTCTGAAGTTAACTTAGATGTCTTATCTTGAGCAGACAGGATCTCCCTCTGTGCATACCTCTGTCTTTTGACTGTATAAGGAATTTACTCACATACTTTAGGAGGATTGCTTCACCATGCATTTAAAATGTAGGCACAATTAAATGCTGTATTAAGCAGATGTGCTCCTACCCTGTGATTAAAGAACATTTTTTTTCTAGCAGCAGTAAGTACAGCTTCCACAGGGACACCTACACTTCATTCCATTCTGAGGTAATAGACAACCAATTAGAGTAAGACTTTAAGTATGTGTAGCAGATAAGCTACTTACATAATTTATGCTATTTAACCGTCTGTGGAGTCTTTATCTATAAACACAGAGACTTTTACGTGATTTACAAAGCAAACATATGAGCTGTTTTAGAGTACCGGGCTCTTGCCTGGAAAAATGTTTATCAAACTTTTTGAATACTATGGCTGAGAGTCTGCAGAAAAGGGTCTTTTGGAGACATGGACTCAAATGTGCATACATCACTCCTCTCAGTTATGGGATTCACAGACTAAACACATCTTCCTTTGGTGTTAAAAATGTCCAAATATTATCAGAGTCTATTTTTTGTGGGGTTTTGTTATTTTTTACATGGAGACTTCTGACTGCACCTTCCCAGTCTTTTGACAAATACTCACATACACAGTGACTTGCTAATACATGGCTGCCGTGCTTCTGTTTATCTTTCAGGTGTGTTTTTTTTTAAATACAGGATAATTCTTAGATGTTGTGTTTCCAAAGTCACTACTGCTTTCAGAGTCAATAATTCAGGTTTTTGCATATGGAAGACTTTTAATGAGAAATTCATTATAATGGCTACTAAGATTACTCAAAATCAATCTGTGGTTCCAAAGAAAATTCTGCTCTATGAGACAGCCACAAAGCTTCACTTCGACTCTTAAACTGTATTGCTGCCAGAGAAGCAGAAATTTCCAGTATTTGCAGCCATATTTTATATTCCGTATCTGAATAAAAAGCCAATGTTCCCAACAGAATGGCAGCTTAAACATTAAAAAACATTATTAAGAACACAGTAACTTTTCATTTCAGTACTTTAAAGTTATTTTCTCTGGGCATTGTTGAGATATTCAATTTTGATAAGGAATAATTTTTGCTTTCTATCACATTTATACTGCTTTGTATAATAATATGATATGGATGATACTAGGTATAAGCACTGCAAGTGAAGTAAGTAGAAACTGCAGTCAAACAAAATGCTTTACTTAATTGAAATGAAATGTTTAGACATTGCCATGAAATGACAGGTTTGAAATGATTTGATATTTTCATTGAAAATTTCACTGAATTTGTGGCATTATTGTGAATCCTTTGGAAAACAGAAGTCCAAGTTAGAATTTCTTAAATGACTGTAAGACAGGATTGCATTTCAAGAAATAGAAATAGTAGTTGTTAAGAAAAGTCTGGAATAGTACCATCTGAAAATAATTTATGAAGGCAGTGAATACGCTGCCTAAAACATTATACTATCAAATATAAAATTATGCAATAAGTTTCCTGAAGGAAAAAATACTTATTAGAAGACATGAAGTCAGAGAGCAATTGAGATATTTTTCCCGCAGTACTTCAGTAGGTCCCTACCTTCATGATAACTTCTCTTCATTACTAAATTGTATTTCAAATTGACAACAGCATCATTAAATGTTTGGTTATTGTTCCTGCAAACCTTTCTAGCATATTTTATATATTAATGCATTTACTGTTATATTTTGCAGAACAGAGATTTAGCGGTGATAGATAGACTAGTTCAATATAACACAGAACAAGTAACATTTAATTATTAACAGCATTTGTCTTGTCTATACACTTCCACAGTTCAGCTGATTTTGTATGTACAGGTTCCAGATGAGATGATAAAACACATTCTGACATGATGATGAGCAGGGATCAAGTGAAGTTTTGGAACTATCAGGGCAACTGTCTTTCTAACTCCTTTTTCTCTTTTGATTCTTTTGCTTTTCCATGCACATAAGAACTTGAGTATTTTTAAAAGAAATGCAGACATCCTCTGATTCCAACTGAGTATCTATATCAGTGAAGCAAACTCATGAATTTTTAACTGTCATGCAAACCAATACCCAGGTATCTCCATTTTGGACTCTTTATGAAAAAGAATCTGAATGTCAGAATTCTGGGAAGTCATGCATTGCTATTAATCTTATGTTTCAGTAGCTATTTATAATAGCCATTTTTTGAAGAAAGCTCCCTATAGAGGTACCTGTAGTATTTTATAGGTGTTTAAACACATAGCCTCCTTTTTCTGTCAGACACAATTAAAGCTAATTTGAAGCATGCTGTATACATTTCTCATCCTATTATTGAAGAGCTCTTCAGAGCACACTACTGGAGACTATGTCTATTCAGGTGCTAAAGAAAAAAAAGTTTCTTTGTATCTGTGCTATAACAGAACATTTTAAATTCTGATACTATCAAACTATAACAGCTACTCAATTCATCTAATTAAAAATATAAAAAAAAGAAGAGACCCTGTAGAACAAAAAGAGATAAGCAGCAATTAGTCTCAGTTAAAAGGATGTATTTCAGGCTATTATCTATCACATTACTACTATTAAATATGCTTAAATATTCTCCAGCACACTCACCTCTTTTTGACGGTACTTAATTGCCAGTTTCAATCTTGCAAGATCATTACCACTTTGTTCTTCTATCAAGCTATTATCATCTCTGTAATTAAGAATAATTTCCAATTCCCTGGAACTCCGTGTCTGATCCAGGAGATCTTTTGCAAATTGCTTGCATTGCCGTGACAGTTCCTCGTACTCCGATTTAAATTCATTTTCGACTTTACTCAGTTCCTGCAGCTCCCAGCTCAGTTGAAAAGCGGTAAGGAAAGGATCCTCACTGGACAAAGCAATCAACGACGGGCTTGCCAGAGCCTTGTAGATATTGAGTCTAGATCGAGAGTGGCGGAGGCTGTCCACGTCTGAACTTGAGACACATTCGACACAGTTACAGCGGACCTCGTGGGGCCTGGGCACAGAGACCCCTTTCTGCACAAGGAGCTTTATGATTTCATAATTGTTGGTGTGGGCAGCCAGAATAATGGGTGTGATATCTGGCGTAAATTCCGAGAACTGCTTGTCCAGAAGCACTGGTGGCACCTGTGAAAAAAGGCAAAAACGCTTACAGGCCTCTTCTTTGAACAAGAGCTATAGAAAATTAAGCCACAAATAGTTTACCAGGTACTAACTTACTGATGGATCTTTGCTTCTGGCCAGAGTTGAAGGAAACACTTAGAACAATTCGATTAGCTAAGATAGCCTCTTTCTGGTTAATAAATTGCTATAAACGGGATGTGATTTTTCATAAAACCTGTTTGTACGTAAACAACCCATGGGCAACAATTCATTAGAGCAAATTATTAGATAAACAAAGAAGAGTCAGACACGTACGCTCCTGTGGGGTCCCTTGAAGTGCAAGCTGTAAGCAAGATGGAAATGCCTTCTTGACTCTCACTGGTTAATCTCAGTTTTATAGGGAAGACAGATTCATGGGGGTACAATAGTGATTCTCTGAAGGAAGTGCTGAACAGGATGCAGACAAGTTAGAGTTATAAAATAAAATGGGCAAGTAAATGAGAAAGAAAAGACATGTTTTCTTAAGCAGAAGGTTGGAAATATGACTGTGTAGAGAAACAAAGATAACCTGCTGCAGAAAGCTTAATGTCTTAAGGCTCAGTTCTACATTCACCTGTGCAAACAAACACACTCTTTACACGAAAATGGGGGAGCTGGTAGAACAAGGTTTCCAAAAGAGCATTTTTAAAGCCTCTTCTGGTGTGTTTCTAAATTTTATTGGAAGACTGTAAGCTCCTTCATTTTAAACTTGCTTCTTTGTTTTACAATACCAGACTCTAAAGCCTTTCCCAGATCAAGACAGATCATTAGACTAGTATGATGAAGCCATGTAAGTGTAATTAGCCGCTGTCAATCAAAAAAATGGTACTGGCATCATCACTTATGGACTGCCTTTGGTCCGTAGCTCAATAACCAAGAATAAACTCAATCCACAACAACAAGATGTTCTGAGTGATGCTCCTTTAGGAAGAAGAAAAGGGGAAAACATTTGACTCAAAGTTACCTGAAGGCTAGGGAAATATATGGCAACTGGAGGGAGGAAAAAATGTTTGATGGAAGTCCTACGATAGCAGAATGACCTCATTGCCAGGTGGAAAGAACACAAATAGCTAAGAAGAGAAGTTAATAGAAAACAGGTAAAGCATGTGAGAAAAGTCTAAGAATAAGTTGAAATGAGCTACGTTTAGAGCCTTGGGAGGGAATGAAGCAAAGCAAAAACCTGAAATGCACAGAATCAGACAGAAACTCAGTGGAAAAGAAAACCAGAATGAAATTAAGCTGAAAAGAAATGGTAGTCTGTGGATCTAAATCCATAATCACGGATTTTTTCTCCCTCTTTCTAATGAAGACACTGTGTATTTTGTATATTTTTTAGCTGTTCTGCATGTGAAACAGCTCATGTTTGTTCAATGGCACTGTATCCATGTATAAGAGCGACTATGTGTGTGGGCTGTAAAACAGGGGCCTGAAGCACTAATTAGCTGAATGAGAGAATTACTTTGGGAGGTGGCCACTTTTATTCTTATAAAATGGGGTGGAAAGTCAAGACTGGAGATCTGGTGCTTGGGATTGTAATCACACAACCCTAGGGAAACAATCCCTGCCCGGCCATAGCATATTGCTGACCTCGAGTAGCTGTGCCAAATTCTGAGAAGCTATGTGGAGTCAACAGGCAGAAACCCCTTTTCTCCATTCTCAGGCGCTCAAACACGCACGCTTGGCTTGGCACTGGGTAAGGCCAGCACAGAGTCCGTTTTGGAGCAGGACAGTGGGATGCCTGAGGTAGGCCATCCACCCTCACGACCTCTTGCAGAGGGAGCAGCCGTCCTCACGGTCCTCCCCACAGGCTTACGGGAGATGTTTACAACCAGCGGTTGTGAGCCGAACAGCTCCTGAGCAAGTTCCTTCTGCTTTCTTTGTTGTGAGGTACAAACAAAATAGTGTAGTGTGTGCAGGCTAGATTGGGTTTGTATGGTGGGGCTTTGGTAGCAGGGCAGGGGCTGCAGGGGTGCCTCCTATGAGAAGCTTCTAGAAGCTTCCCCGGTTCCAAGCTGGACCCGCCTCTGGCCCAGGCCGAGCCCATCAGTGATGGTGGTAACACCTGTGGGAGAACAGGTTTAAGAAGGGGAACCTGCAGTGAGTAGGGGGATCAGAATGTGAGAGGAACTCCTCTGTGGGTATGGAGGTCAGTGAAGGAGGAGGGGATGCCCCCGCAGCCTGCAGGGAGGCGGCAGGCTGTCTCTCCCAGCCTGTGGGGTGGAGCAGATGCCCACCTGCAGCCTGGGGAGAGAGGAGCCCAGGCCGGAGCAGGGGGATGCCCCTGAAGCGCTGGAGCAGGCTGTGCCTGAAGGACTGCAGCCCGTGGGAGGGACCCACACTGGAGCAGTTCATGAAGAACTGCAGTCCATGGGAAGGACCCATGCCGAAGAAGTTCATGGAGGACTGTCTCCTGTGGGATGGACCCCACGGTGGAGCAGGGGAAGAGTGCGGAGTCCTCCTCCCCCTGAGGATGAAGGAGCGGCAGAGACAAGGGGTGAGGAACCGACCCCAACCCCCATTCCCCGTCCCCCTGCGCTGCTGGGGGGGAGGAGGGAGAGAAAACCGGGAATGGGGTTGATGTGGGAAGGAGGGAGGGGTGGGGGGGAAGATGTTCTAAGACTTGGGTTTACTTTTCATTATCCTGTTTTGATTAGATTAGTAAGAAGTTAAATTGATTTTGTTTTTTTTTCCCCAAGTTGAATCTGTTTTTCACCTGTGACCATAAGTGGTGAGTGATCCCTCCCTGTCTTCATCTCGACCCACGAGCCTTTCATCATATTTTCTCCTTCCCATCCCACTGGCGGGGAGGAGTGAGCGAGCAGCCTCATGGTGCTTTGTTGCTGGCTGGGCTTAAGCCATGACACAGGCATACACAGAAATATGGGTTTAAAATTACTCAGGAGGTAAGGAACCAAGCTGAGAATATACTGAAGGTACATATGGATGGGGGCACACTTGGGTACAAGAACAAGTGGAAGGTCTGTGTACTGTGCTCGATCTCAGCTGTGGTTGGGACAAGAAACACAACCTGGGCATATGTCTTCTCAGAGGACTCTCTGGCTGTGTTCACACTGCTTTGTCAGGTCTCTTCCAGGACACCTCTGGGTCATCTGTCACCTCCAGGCTGAACACTATGCAGAGCCCACCCAGGGATGCCCACATGCCCAGATCGTTTCATTATTCCTGCCCAGTATGGACTGGGGCTTGTTTTCTCACCTGTCTATGGTGTCAGTGGGGAAAATGAGACCCATTTCCAACCCCAAACGTCACTGGTTATTGTAGTCTTAAATTTATCTTCTCTTTTATTTACATATTATACAGAAAAAAATAGCACATGTGCATACACACACTTTTCCTGCTCTCTCAATTGCAACTGTGGCCAATGCTTTTGAGGCTTAGAAAGAGATGAAAATGGCAGTAGAGGCTCAAAATTTGCATTACTAGAAGTGCGATTTTGGGCTAGCATAGGTCTGAAAAAGGTATATAGCAAGGGATGTATTGTGCTCTGACAGTGTCCACCACAACTAGTGAGACTCCCTCTTGGCCCCAGGGTTAGGGTACCAGGGAGTAGAAGAGAGAGCTGCAAGGGCAGAAAACTCAAGGATACAAAGCTATAACTCAAAACTGACTGCTCAGAGTATTCCTCTGTCATTTAGCATGTCATTATCTTTCTACTTTCTGACAGTACTAAACTAGTATTTGCTTCAAGCCCACCAGAACTGAAGGCTATCTGAACATGTCATTAACCGCAGTCTTCTCTGAAAAATTAACAGGCATGGCTTCAAACAGCATGGCATTATAATGATTGACTTGTACATGGGGTCCATTAACTCAAAAGCTTCTTGTTTTTCTCGTAGCTTATCAAAACCTTTCATCTTAAGGTAACTCAGCTATAAGGCTAACGCACACATTTTGGAATTCATACCATCAGAATTTACCTAAATATAGAAGTGTGTATTAAATAATTTCAGCCTTAGCTTACAGAAACAGTTAAACTTGAAGAGCAAACCCTAAGACTGCAATTGTAATTACAGCATGAGTTTAACCTCTGACCCTTTACCTCCTATTTTAAGATTTCCTACTCATTTAAGCCAAAGATATACAGAATGCCAAAGCAGTAAGGTCAAATTATTCCCTCATCTGCAACATAATGAAGTACTTATCTTTTGAAGTTCTGAGTGCTCTCATGGCACTCGGAATATTTCAGCATTTAACTGTTGACCCAGAGTACTTGCTTTGAAGCCACAAGACTTATGAATTTTACTTTCAAACTACTGCAAAATAATTCTCTTTAAAGAAGCCAAAACAAATAACCCGCACACATTGATATTAGCCACACAATCTAAAGCTTTGACAGAACACTCACAGAGAACATACGAATCTTCCTTAAATCCTGGGAGGATGGGAAGCAACCAGATCTTACAGTCACTGACTGTGACTTCCCAAAACTTAGCAGTGGTGTAACTATATTATACACTTCGGAGCTAATGTGTCAATTGTGAGGCTGCTTAAACTTGGAACGGTCAAGTGATTTTTGCCTCCTTACATTTTGTTGAAAATTTTCTACTTCAACCCTATTTATAGGACTCAGCTAAGCAGTTTGGTGATTGTGTATACTTGTATGCATATCTGTATGGGGATGAGTAGGCAAAAAGAAAAGAAGAAAGTATCGTTCAAAGTCTGTACACTTCAGTGCTCAAGGACATGAGATTTTTCATTGTATTCCTTTACCCTGCACTTACTGTAAGTGGGAATGAGTCAGTCTGACTTGGATATCTAACAATTTTTTTTAGATACTAAGTGGAACAGCCCTCTTCAATATGTGTTTAAGTTCCCTGTATGGTCTGTGTGAAGAGAAGCCCCTTTGTTAAAACAGAAAGAGAAATCTAGGCTAAATTAATGCCAGTTAGGTCTGAGACATTTTCTGTCCCTATGACATTAGAATAGAGACCAATTGCTGATGATCCCTTAGATACCCAGGAAAT